GGACTAGAGGATGACCAACACAAACTGTGCAGCAGCAGATGAGCTATCGCCTCTGACTGTACATCTACAAGGTGGACTGACAAGGTAGGAGTGTCTAATAGAGTGGACAGTGAGTGGACACAGTGTTTAAAAACTCCAGCAGCACTAACACACTAACACACCACCACACACACACACACTTAGCAATTAATGGTTTAGTAATATTAGGTAAAGAGTAATTAACGGTCAAATATGCAGAGACAGCTCTGAGGACAGAGATGGGAAGCTGAATATGTGAAGGTGAAGGAAAGTGGACTGTGTTCCATACAGCACTGCACAGTGGAGGTAAAGTGTAATGATAAATCAGTGGATTAATTAGTAGATAATAAACGAGGCTGACCCATAAGTACTAGTTAGTCCTCAGTTATGTGTTTATATGGGTAAACACACACATCAGATCATTAGCAGTGTAATAATCAGCAGTTAGTCCACAGTGAATGAGTTAATAAGCTATGAACTCATAACTAACTATCAGTTAACAGTGCACTCGGTTACTAAATACTGTTTAGTCAGTTGCTATGTAATAACTAATACTTAATGAACACAAATATTATATAAATAATGACTTATTAATGACGTAATTAATATTTAGTCAGTGATCCTTAGTGTAAAGTCCTACAGTTATCAAGTGCACTACAAATTTTCTGGTGTTCTAGCTGATCCAGGGTCATGGAGGTAGAACACTTCTTCCCGGAAACATAGTTTGTATTTATTAAGATAACGGATGAGTTGGTTACTAATGCCTTTTTCATAAACTTTGAAGATATATGGAAGAATAGATGTAGGCCTGTAATTGGAGAATCCTGTTGGGTCATCTGATTAATATAATGGCATCACTTTCAGTGCCCATTTCAGCTCATCAGGAAATATTCCACAGCTTAAGGATTGGTTGAAGTAGGGTGAAATAAGGTGAAGGTTTAGGTAATTAGAAATTTCTTTAATAACACTGGCTGTAAATCATCCAGACCAGCAGCCGTGTTCTTGAGTTTGTTCATAACATTGTTCAGTTCCACTAAAATTACAGGCCAGAAGTTGAAAGCATTAAGTGCCAGTGACGGGTCTAGTAGTATGACAGCTTTTTAGAGCCACTGTTAAAAAATAAAATAACTTTGAGAATCAAGTCGTATTTTCAAGAATAAAATTGTAATATTTTGAGAAAAAAATATTATTTCAAGAATAATATTTTGAGAATAAAGTCGTAATATTTTGAGAATACAGTTGTAGAATTACAACATTAAAGTGGGATATTACCAGGAAAATGGCAATATTGTGGCCAAAGCCTTCGCAAAGGGAAGCAGCACCTCCTGGTGTTAAATGAGGAGTGGTGAGTTGGTGGAGTTATACTTTCATATCGATTCACCCATAAAGAAACACTCAGTCTCCCTGTCTCTCCTGCACATCAGCACCAGCCTGTTATAGTATAAGAACCAGCTGAAACGGCTGAGCAGGAAACTGAGTTTATCTAGAATAAAGAGCCGGACGGACTCGGAGGAAACTGTGTTTATCTAGAATAAAGAGCCAGACGGACTCGGAGGAAACTGAGTTTATCTAGAATAAAGAGCCAGATGGACTCGGAGGAAACTGAGTTTATCTAGAATAAAGAGCCAGATGGACTCGGAGGAAACTGAGTTAATCTAGAATAAAGAGCCAGACAGACTCGGAGGAAACTGAGTTTATCTAGAATAAAGAACCAGACGGACTCGGAGGAAACTGAGTTTATCTAGAATAAAGAACCAGACAGACTCGGAGGAAACTGTGTTTATCTAGAATAAAGAGCCAGACGGACTCGGAGGAAACTGTCTGTCTGTGTTGTTGAAGGAGAATCTCAGGAAGGGTCGTCTACGAGGCTATCGGGGCTACATCAGACAGTGAGAATGATAATCAGAATGGACCCTGAAAGAGCGGAACTCCGTCTTCATCATCTAAAGTACAGCGACTGAGGCCCCAAGGCGTTATGGCAGCCCCCCTACAATTAGACTTTATTCTCGAAATATTACTATTTTATTCTCAAAGTCTATTTTTTAACTGTGGCCCTAACACACCGTCATACTACTAGAGACAGCGGAATATCGGGTATGTTACTACCTACAGAGCCTGACCTGATCAAGTAAATCACTGAATTTATTTGCAATTTAACTTTGATTAGTGATGACTGCATTGTGTATGTGAGGTTAGCGTATTGCCACTGTCTAATGAAAAACATGTATTTTGTCGATTTTTATTTTCTTCATGAATTGAACACAGCAGCCGCCCTTTGCGCTTTGTGAGAATTTCATGATGAATGGACCAAAACAAAAGCCCCAATATCACTTTCAATAAAACCTCTTTATATTAACTTGCATTAAAAGTAAAGAGGATTATTGTGTCTCTTGTAAAGTCACCATTTTGGAGATTCTTGTATTTCTTTGGACAGTGATGATATGCAGTATGAATACATGGCGTGGAGATAATGTTTTCTGGGCTCTTTGGACTTTATTACCAATGAAGGGATGTAGATTATATCCTATAATCAAAGTTGAATCTTTTAATATAGAATATTTTACAACCCCATTTCCAAAAAAGTTGCACAAAATGTAAATAAAAATAAGATGCAATGATGTGCAAATAATTTAAACCCTATATTTCATTGAAAATAGTACAAAGACAACAAATTAAATGTTGATACTGAGAAATTTTATTATTTTTTGAAAAATATATGCCCATTTTGAATTTGATGCCAACAACCACTGTGTTTCATCACCTCTTCTTTTAACAACACACTGTAAGTGTTTGGGAACTGAGGAGACACTGCTGTAGTTCTGAAAGTGAAATGTTTTCCCATTTTTGCTTTCAGGATTTCAGCTGCTCAACAGTTCGGGGTCTCCTGTGTTGTATATTTCATTTCATAATTTGCCAAATGTTTTCATTGGTGACAGGTCTGGACTGCAGGCAGGTCAGTTCAGCACCCGGACTCCAGCACTTCACCTTTTAATACAGAGCCATGCTGTTGTAATACATGCACAATGTAGTTTGACACTGTCTTGCTGAAATAATCAAGGCCTTCCCTGAAAAAGACGTCATCTGGATGGCAAGCTGAGTGGTCTTTAGCCCAGAGGACACAGTGTCCATGATTTCAAATGAGAGTTTCAAATGTTGATTCATCGGACCACAGGACACTTTCCCACTTCCTCTCAGTCCATTTTAAATTGGCCCAGATGCCCAGAGAAGGTGGCAGCATTTCTGGATCCTGTTTATATATGCTTTCTTCTTTGCGTTTTAGAGTTTTAACTTGCATTTGTGGATGCAGTGCTGTGCAGCGGGGTTGTACTTAATAATATATTTTTACACCTAGGAATAATAGTTCTTTGGCTTTTGTGTCTCTGTGAGACCTGTGGTATGTCCTTCAGGAAGGGCACTGTGACAAGAGATAAGAACTTGTTTATGCCCATCTCCAATCTAGCCTACCAGACATGGTGGTCACCTGTGGTACAAGAGCTGGAACTGAGCATCTCCATCATTATATAAAGCTGCTTTTCTACTGCATGGTACCAGCTTGACTCGACTTGACTCACTTTTGGTACCAGCTACTTAGTTTTCCACTGCAGATATAGCGTCCCCTCAGCGTAGCTGGTCGTCATAGCAATGACAAACGAACGTGAAGGAGACAAATATGGTTCAGAAGAGGCTGATATAAGCAAGAGAAAAGAGTGCTGACAAAAACAGGAGAGTTTGGGAAAAACTACATCAGAGTTCAGACGACGAGACGATTCTGGTTGCTCAAGAATGCCAACGCAAGAGGCTACGCTAACCTGGTGGCTAATGTTAGCATATGTGTTTAGTGATTCTCTCCAACCAATCAGCAGCCTGTAGCGTTTTTATATCACCTTTTGGTATCGGCTCAGCTCACTTGGAACCTCAATGGAGATGGTACCAAAAAAGTACTGTTTTCCAGGTACCAACTTTTACATAATGGAAAAAAAAAAGGCGAGTCAAGTCGAGTCGAGCCGAGCTGAGCTGGTACCATGCAGTGGAAAAGCGCCTTAACTGGGTGAAATGGTGAGCATTTGGGATCCTTCATGGCCTTCAGCCAGGCTGAGAGCAGCTCTTGCTGATGTCTATTTTACATATAGTTTGCATAAAAGTATAATTGCTTTGCAGTGTTAGATGGTGAAGACACCCACCACTGTTACACCCACCACTCTCTCTCTCTCTCTCTCTCTCTCTCTCTCTCTCTCTACTCCCAGTTTTAGCTGATTTTCTTTAAGCTTTGACTTTGTTACTAGCTGCCTTGCTCAGAAAATAAATAGAAACTGTGCTATGAAATCTGCATATTTAAGTGTGTTCTCTGTGGAGGGTGTGTTAACATACTTTCACTCAGAAGATCAAAACAGAATTTTACCAGGGGTGTTCAGACTTTTGCATACGACAGCATGTTTTATTAATAAATTGAGTAGTAAGTCTTAACTTGAATGCATTTGATACAAATATTTGTACTGCGTTGTCTGTATGCATATGTCTATATTGTCAGTGGTCTGTTGTGAGCCAGCGGTCACTGTTGTGTCAGCGGGTCTATAGTGTGTCTGTGGTCGGTGTTTCAGTTATCCATGGCGTGTCAGTGGACAAAGTGTCAGTCATCCATGTTGTGTCAGTGGTCGGTGTTGTGTCAGTGGCTTTATGATGTGTCTGTGGTACCTTTTGTGTCAGAGGTCCATGTTTCAGTTATCCATGGTATGTCAGTGGTACATGGTGTGTTAGTGGTCTGTGCTGTGTCAGTGGTCTGTGTTGTGTCAGTGGTCCTGTGCTGTGCCAGTTGTCTGTGTTGTGTCAGTGATCTGTGTTGTGTCAGTGGTCTGTGTTGTGTCAGTGGTCCTGTGCTGTGTCAGGAAACTGTGTTGTGTCAGTGGTCTGTGATGTGTCAGTAATCTGTGTTGTGTCAGTGGTCTGTGTTGTGTCAGAGATCAATGTTGTGTTGTGGTCTGTGTTGCGTCAGTGGTCGGTGTTGTGTCAGTGGTCTTTGTTGCTTCAGTGGTCTGTGTTGTGTTGGTGGTCCTGTGTTGTGTCGTGGTCTATGTTGCATCAGTGGCCTGCTGTGTCAGTGATCTATTTTGTGTTAGTGGTCTGTGTTGTGTAAGTAGCCTGTGTTGTGTTAGTGGTCCCGTGTTGTGTCAGTGGTCCCATGTTGTGTCAGTAGTCTTCGTTGTGTCAGTGGTCCTGTGTTGTGTCAGTAGTCTTTGTTGCGTCAGTGGTCCTGTGTTGTGTCAGTAGTCTTTGTTGCGTCAGTGGTCCTGTGTTGTGTCAGTGGTCAACTGTCCTGCTGTGCTCCAGTTTCTTCTTCACTCCAGCACACTTCAGCGTGAGTTCAGCGTGGCGCCTCTTCAGCGTCTCCAGTCTGCTTTCCAGACTCTCACAGGCGTCCATCTTCTCCTCGAAGTCCCTCAGGAGGGTGTTGTTTCCCAGCAGGCCACAGCGCTGACGCAGGCGCAGGTTATCCGCCCGCAGGCTGTCACGCGCCTGCTTGGTTCGCGTCAAAACGTCCCGCTTCCGGGCCACCACAGCATCCACCTCGGCCAGCTGAGCCCGCTTAGCTTCGTTTTCCACCTGAACAAACCGAAGCTTCTCCTTCACCTGGGTCAGGACCTGACAGCGGTGGACACAGCGTTAGGACAGAATAACGTCTTTACACATAAACTACACTTCATACACAAAAATACAGCTCAAAAATACAAAACTGTTTTTAGAAACAGAAACTGTTTAAGTTAGAAAACCCCAGTCAAATTATGTGTTTTATTGATTTTCTGAGTACAATGTTCATTTATATGCGAAGTTTAACTTTTTGGGAAAACAAAACTTTTGCCACATTTTATGATTTATTATAAAAAGAAACATTATCTTTTAATAAATACTACGTGTCTTTTAGTATTTATCTTTTTAGTCTGATCTGCGTCTTCGCTGCATATTAATTTAATACAGCATAGTTTCTTTGATTACTGATAAGCTTTGTCATCTGCCTGCAAAGCACTTTGAGCTGGGAGAAAAGTGCATTAAAAATAAAGTTATTATTTTTACTAGTATTTATTTTTTTTCCCAATATGGTAAATTCAGTCAATAAACAATGATTGTGTATTAAAATGTGCAGTAGTGTGTGTCTGTAGAGGAAGTGTTCACTAATTTACACTTGGAAAATCAACAACGTCATTTAACCGGGGCACCCAAAAGTTTGCACACAACTGTATGTCAATCAAAAAATAAGGCTGTGTAAGATAAGTGAGTGGCTGAAAAAGAACAAGAAATTTAAAAGAATATGAGAATATAATATGACAGAATATGATAAACATCAGGTTCTTTTAAACCACTAAAAGAGAAAAAAGGAATAAATGTTTCATCCACAAAAGCAGTGAAAACCTGGGTAAGACCTCATATCTCCGGAATGGTAACTGTACAGGAGACGGATAAAAACATCCTAAACCTTTAATGGAAATTAACGTAACAACGATTTTCTTTCTTAGTAATTTTGGGCCGTTTCTGTTGGTCCATTCATTGAGAAATTTTAACACAATGTAAAGGGCCTGGGTCTTCACCCATCTTTCTGCGAAAGTAGTCGGCTAGCTTGACCTGAAAGATAGATAGATAGATAGACAGACAGACAGACATATAGATAGATAGATAGATAGATAGATAGATAGACAGACAGACAGACATATAGATTGACAGATAGGTAGACATAAACAGATAGATAGACAGAGAGTTAGATAGATAGATAGATAGATAGATAGATAAACAGACAGACAGACAGCCTTGAGCAAGGCACCTAACCCCCAACTGCTCCCTGGGCGCTGCGGATAGGGCTGCCCACCGCTCCGGGCGAGTGTGCTCACTGCCCCCTAGTGTGTGTGTTCACTAGTGTGTATGTGGTGTTTCACTCCACTGTTCGGTTAAATGAAGAGGTGAAATTTCCCCGTTGTGGGATTAATAAAGGGTCACTTCATCTTAAAATGAAGGCTTCAAATTATTTTACAATTTTTTCGAAAAAAAAAATGGAGAAACAAAGTTTTGGTCGGACAGTGACGTTTTACTTCTACTCCAGTAAATAAGTGAGTAAAGTAGTCTAGTTTTTCCTCAGTTCCATTTTAGTCATTAATATTTTTGTTCTCGAATCTCAAATTTAACCTGAACCAAAGATGAATGTTCACAAACATAAACAACAAAACCGCTAATCTAATGTGACGTTCATATGCCTGCATGATGTGTGTGAATGTGAGGGAGTGAAGAGTCAGAATTCACGGCAGGTTGAGAGAAGTTTTGGGGACGTATCTACAAAAAAGATTTAGGTGACTATTGACTTGTAGTGTTTGTTAGCAACATTAGCTTTGGAATTTCCAAATGTATTTAATTTTTCAAATATATTTTTGCAATGTATGAAAATGGCCAAAAAAATATTTATAAAATATATTTTTAAAATGCATTTATTTGTATTTGTTATTATATTTTTTTCAATTGTATTTAGTTTTAGCAAATGTTACAGATATGACTGAATATACCTGAACTGAACAAACGGCACTGGCTTTACATTAACCATGTACGTATGCAGTAAGACATTCACACACAATGTATTTCAGATAAACAAGATATCAAATCAAATCAACTGCATTTTCACAGAGTATAAATACCTACGACACTAACTTCTGTCCTGTTAAAGGTTCATTTGATCATATTTAAAATTAAGATACTGGAATACAAATTCATTTCAAAATGTATCAAAACAGTAAAGACAGTATTTTGGTTATTTTCATACATTTTTGAATGAATTTGATAAATACATTTACGTACATTTATTTTTGTATGGTACATTTCTATGTGTAATATTTCCCCGTACATTTTAAAATAAATGCATTTTAAAATATATTCGGTTAATATGGCAAATTATACTGAAATATATTTAAGTGTTTTGAATGTATTTCAGTATGCTTTCATTACTGCAATGTATTTGACATATATTTCAAATATATAAAAATATATGTCCATAAAAAATATGTCCATATATTTTTCCATAGGTGTAATGTTCATACCTTGCTATTCTATTCAGTCAGAGTAAAGTCGGCATAGACGGACTTTGGTAGGATAGGTTGACTGTATCGGACGTTGGTATCAGTGATTTTTTATGAGCACGGTATCGACTCAATACCTGATGCAAGTATTGGTATCGATGCACCCCTACACGAGTCACTAAAGCACATTACAAGCCTCATTGCTCAAATCTGATTGTTTGCTCAAATCCGATCTCTCTGACACGATGGTTCACACTCGTTTAGGTAAGTGATTCAAATCTGTCATTATTGTGACGAACCGGCGTCCTGAAATGACCCGCATGAGCTCATCCTATTCAGTAACGTCACGTGAATGAATCACGTGCATCATCAGCACAAACTAACGAGCAGAACGAGCTTCGCTGAGAAGATAATTAACTCTGATCAGCTCTCAGCTTCATTATTAGAGCGAGACGAAGGAGAAAAAGGTGAGATGAGCTGCTTTTCCACCGTTTACAGGCTTTAACTTCTGTTCGGTGCTGCTGCCATGGTAACGCTGAATGATGGAGCAGCACAGTGGAAAAAAGCATATGAATTCCGATCTGAGCATCACATTAAGGTCACACGGCCAAGAATCGGATACGTATCCGATCTAGGACCACATATGAAAGTGGCTCAGGTCAGATTTGAAAAGATCAGATTTGTGTCCACACAGCTCTGAAAACATCAGATCTGAGTCACACTGGGGCAGAAAATCAGATTTGTGCCACTTCAACCTGGTAATGTGAACATAGCCATATTCCTTCAACACTCAGCCCCACCTGCTCAGTGTGGGTGATCTTCTTCCTCAGCTTCAGCAGTTCCTCACTGCGCTCCTCGATCTTCTCGTTGTAGGTTTGGTTCTCGATCTTCAGCTGTTCAAAGTCAATCCGATGCAGACCTTCAGCCAGCTCCTCTTTGGCCTTCAGCTCGGCCTCCAGCTTCCTCATCTTCATCTTCAGCTTGATGTTTTCGAGCCTGACGGCCACAAGTTCCTCCTCTTGTTTCTGTTCGGCCTGCTGGAGCTGCTCCACCTGGGCCTGAGCGGCTGGTTTACCCAGCTTTCGCGACAGAGCTGTTACAGCTGACTCATACTTCTTCTCCATCAGAGCTCTCCACTCTCGCTCCACCAGCTCCAGCTTCTTCTGGCTCTGCCTCTTCAGCTCCTCCACCTGCTGCTGGTGGAGATCCGAATCACGGAGTCGCTGCCGCTTCAGATCCTCAATGACATCCAGATACATCTGGTAGCGCTGCTGCAGGTCAGACACGACCTTCTCTCGCTCCGGCCGAGGGTCTTCACCCATCTTTCTGCGGAAGTAGTCGGCTAGCTTGACCTGAAAAATAGATAGATAGATAGATAGATAGACAGACAGACAGACACATAGATAGGCAGACAGGCAGACAAACAGATTGACTGATAGGTAGACATATAAACAGATATATAGATAGACAGATAGATAGACAGACAGACAGACAGACAGACAGAGAGTTAGATAGATAGATAGATAGATAGATAGATAGATAGATAGATAGATAGATAGATAGATGATAGATAGATAGATAGACAGATAGACAGATAGACAGACAGATAGACAGACAGACAGACAGACAGACAGAGACGGATAGACAAACAGATAGATAGACAGATAGATAGATAGACAGATAGATAGATAGACAGACAGATAAACAGATAGACAGTCTAACCTGTATCTGGGTGTTGATCTGGCTGAGTTTGTCTCTCTCTGCCTGCAGTTCCTGTAGGAGCTCCAGCTGCTCCTCATAGTTGATCTGAAGGTTTTGTTGCTCTGTCTGCAGCTGATCTGATGGAGCTTCGTCCTCAGGCCGCTGGCCCTCTGGCTCCGGAGTGCCTGAGTCCAGCACCGCAGGCCCTTCATCCTCCTTCTCCTGCTCATCCTCCTCAGCTTTGATGCTGCCCTCCCTGGAGAGACGCTCTCCAATGAGAGGATCCACATCTGGAGCCTCACCCTCCTCAAAAGTCTCACCGGTGGGTAGATCTCCTGCAGCTGTTTGGTCTGGTGGGAGAACAGCCTCCTCAGGCTCTTCTCCTGTGGTCTGCAGTTCAGCCTCTGGAAGGTTCTCCACAGGAACAAGACCTAAATGTTGCTCTGCTGCAGGCTTCTCCGCCTCCTCTCCCTCCAGGCCTGTGGAGGTGTCAGCTTCGGGGACAGCCGGTTCCTCACCGTCCTGGACGGCATCTGCTGCTTCTGTCTGGACCACATCTCCACGCTCCTCTGAGCTGTCTGCCAGTGTGGCGTCTGCAGCAGGACTCACTTCCTCCAGTGACGGCTCTTCCATTTTCAAACTTCAGCAAGTTTGTTTGCAGGTTATTCATTTGTTTTTTAAAATATTTTATTATAAATGTTATTATTCAAAATACACAGTTATTTATTATTGCTACTATTATTATTTTACCATAAGACAATGCAAGAATTAGTGACAGACAGTGGGATAGTTATGTATTCCTGTGGAAGGGGCCAAGCCCAAAATATAATGGATTTTACAGGGTCCAGATTTAAGCCCTATAGAGAATATCTGGTTTCATATTAAACCCAAATTAGCTCAGCAGTGTTTTTCAGCTGTCTGAAGCCGTCAATAATGAGAGGATCAATACTGACTCTTCTTTCTGTAAAACACTGTCTGCAAGTTTACAAACAAAACTTCAACATGTAAAGAAATCAAAGGGAAAAACTCTCCTACACTGACTCACTTTTCTCCTAATTTTTGCCATTCTGGGCCATTTTATTTTCACAGTAGTGTATAGTTTGTCATTAAAGTTTACCATGGGTTAAAGTGTCCTAATACTTTTCGGAGCCACTGTGCATGGACAGACAGACAGACAGACAGACAGATAGATAGACTGACAAATACATAAACAAACAGATAAATAGATGAACATACTGATAGACAAACAGAGCTGGACAGACAGATAAGTGGAGAGATGAACAGACAGATTGATTAACATAGACAAACAGAGAAGTAGTCAGAGGGATGAAGAGACACAGACAGCTAAATAGTGAGACAGACAGATAAAGAGAAAGACAGACAGACGTCTCTGAGTGTCAATAAGACGATATTGAACTACTAGTCGTTTAAAAACTGATAAGTTTACTCTCAGTTTAGCGAACAGCAACACAAAAACAAAATACAACCAAACCTACACCATAAAATTAACATTAGTGCGTTAAATATTAAATATTAAATATTAAATACTAAATATTATGCTCACCTTGGCTGAAACTCCGCTCTGCTCTCCTTCAATAAAAAATAAAACTCATTCGTGTTTTCATACCGGTTGTCTGGGAAACGGCTTTTTGGGAGCCAATCAGCGTGGTCGGTGCCGCTATTTTTATAAATATTCATGAGCTTCCCTCACCACGACAGCGCCTCGTTAATATTAATGAGCGAGGGGGGCGGAGCGGCGCGCATGCGCAGAGCGGCTCTGCGCGGCTCCAGCAGTCGCAGGCAGCAGCAGCGGGAGGAGCAGAAATGGCGGACCTGGGGAAGAAGTACTGTGTGAACTGCCTGTCGGACGTGAGCAACCTGCGGATCCGCTGCACGGACTGCCCGGACATCGAGCTGTGTCCCGAGTGCTTCTCGGCGGGAGCGGAGATCGGAAACCACCGCAGATGGCACGGATACCAGCAGGTGGACGGAGGCCGGTTCGCCCTGTGGGGAGCCGAGGCGGAGGGAGGCTGGACGGGCAGAGAGGAGCAGAGCCTGCTGGACGCCATCGAGCAGTACGGCTTCGGCAACTGGGTAACAAAACTCAGCTAAACTCCGCTCGCTGCCCGCATTAGGGGCTTTTAGTGTGGTCAGAAAAGAGCAGAACCAGCTGGAGACCAACTGGGTCCAAAACTCAGACTGAACTGAGTGGAATAAACTTAATATAAAGCCAATATAACTCAAAATATCCGTTTGTTATGGTCAGTGAGTGGTCCTAATGTGGAGATATTGTAAACAGAGATGAGTAAGAAGTAGTTTAATTCAGTCAGTTACACAAACTTAATGTATTTGTACTTTTAAAGCCATTATAACCTGGATTATAGATTTATTATTGGTAGATGGGCAGAGAACCAGAACCAGGGACCACTGGAGACCAACTGGGTACAAAACTTAGACTGAACTGAGTGGAATAAACTTAATATAATGCCGATATAACTTAAATGATCTGTTTATTATGGTGAGTGAATGGCCCTAATGTGGTGTTATTTTAAACCGAGATGAGTAGAAACTAGTTTAATTCAGTCAGTTTCATCTGCTTGGTGTATTTTGTACTTTTAAAGCCATTATAACTCAGATTATCCATGTATTATGGTCAGTGAGTGGTCATAATGTGATGTTATTGTAAACATGGTTGAGCAGAGAGTAGTTTCATTCATTCGGTTACATAAACTTGATGTATTTGTACTTTTAGAGCCATTATAACGTAGATTATGGGTTTATTGTTGTTGGATACAAACCCAAACTGAACTGAGTGGAATAAACTTAATATAAAGCCAATGCAACTCAGAACATCTGTTTATTATGGTCAGGGATTGGTTGTAATGTGGTGTTATTTTGAACCGAGATGAGTAGAAACTAGTTTAATTCAGTCAGTTACATAAACCTGATGTATTTGTACTTTTAGAGACATTATAACTTGGATTATGGGTTTACTGTTGTTGGATACAACACTCAGTTGAGCAGAAAGTAGTTTTACTCAATCAGTTTAATGTACTTGATGTATTTTGTACTTTTATAACCATTCTAACTTAGATTATTCGTTCATTATGGTCAGTAAATGGTCCTAATATGGTGTTATTCTAAATAGAGGTGGGTAAAAAGTAGTTTCATCCAGTCAGTTCCATAAACCTGATGGATGTGTCCTTATAAAGCCACTATAACGTAGATTACGGGTTTATTATTGTTAGGTGGGCAGAGTGAACCAGAGTTCTACTGGACACTGGTTGATTCACAATGAACTGTATAGAATAAGCCTAATAAAAGCCATTATACCTTACATTATCTATTTGTTACAGGGAGTGAAGAGAACAAAAGTGTGTAGAAAGTAGTTTCATCCAATCCTTTTGATGTACTTGATGTATTTTTACTACTTTTTAATACTTAATACTTACTTTTTGTTTGGGCACAAAACAAACTTAGCTAAACTCTACTTACAACGCAAATCAGGGGCTATTAATATGGTTGGGCTGGTCAGCAAAGAGATTGCTGGACACCAGCTGGGTACAAAACTAAAGCTAAACCCAGTAGAATAAACTTAATACAAAGCCAGTATAACTTAGATTATATGTTTATTATGGTCTGTGAAGTAGTTTAGTAAAGTAGTAAAGTAGCCAATGTATCTTCTAAATTATAGGTTTATTATTGTGATTTGAACAGAGAACCAGAGATTGGGTGCAAAATAAATTCAAACTCTACTTACAGCTCAGATGAATGGCTTTTAATGTGGTTAGCTTGGTTAGAAAAGAGCAGAGCCCACTTCACATCAATTAAGTACAAATCTCAGACTGAACTGAGTGAGATAAACTGAATACAAAGCTATTATTACTCAGATTATCTGTGTTTTATGAGTGAGTGGTCCTAATATGAAGTTACATTAAACAGAGGTGGGCAGAAAGTAGTTTTGTTTAAATATTTCCATGTACCTGATGTATTTTGTACTTTCAAAGCCATTATAACATAGATTAAGGGTTAATAATTGTTAGGGGGGGCAGAGAACCAGAACCACAGGGTACTGAACACCAACTTGGTACCAATTTGACTCAATTAAACTCTATTTACAACTCAGGTGAGGAGCTTTTAATGTGGTTATATTGGTTAGAAAAGAGCAGAACTCACTGCACACCAACTGGGTACAAACCTCAGACTGACCTGAGTGGAATAAACTTAATACAAAGCTAATATAACATAATGTGTTTATTATGGCAAGTTTATGGACATAATATGGTGCTGTTTTTTTGAAAAAAGTAGTTTCATTCAGTCAGTTCACTGTACTTGATGGATTTGTACTTTTAAAGCCATCGAAACTTCTAGATTATGGGTTTATTAGTGTTAGTTGAACAGAGAAAACCACAGTTTTACTGGATGCCAACTGGGTAGAATAAGTCTAATAGAAGCCATTATAACTTAGGTTATCCATTTGTTATGGTCCTAAAAAGTGCCCTGCCCTGCACTTTTTAGCGTTTTCCCTGCTGCCAACACAGCTGATTCAACTAATCAGCTCATTAACAGCCCATTATTGGGTTAAAGTGTGTGTGCTAAAGAAGGAAAAAGTACTAAAATGTGCAGGAAAGTGGGCCTCCATGACCAAGGTTGAGAAACACTGTATTAAAGTACCTATTTGATGGATAAACTCAGTGATGGATGAGTAGTTTGGTGATAAATGGTCCCACAGTGTGGTGCTGAGTGATTTGAAATGCAAGCAGTAACTTGCTCGGTTCACACAGTTCCATGCACTTCTGTAATATTTTTGATGGATTTTGTACTTTTAAAGCCACTATAACTTATAAACTATTAAGGTTAGAAGGACAATGTTAGGTGGGCAGAAAGATGGAGAGGCTGTTGGACACCAAAACCTTGTATCTCAAACTCAGGAGAAGGAAAAAACATTCCTAAATTTAAATGAAAGTTAATGGAACAGGTTAATTTTGGAACATTTTTATTGCTCCGTTTCTCATCAAATTTGAACAAAATTTATTGCAAAAAAATTAGAAAAATGGAAATGGAGATCCAAGGTTTTGTCCCAACTACGACACTGTGTCTGTGTGTCACTATCTGATCATTTCTTTATCTGCATACTGTTTTAGGAGGACATGGCTGCCCATGTTGGAGCCTCTCGCACTCCTCAGGAAGTCATGGACCACTACGTCAGCATGTACATCCATGGCAATCTGGGCAAGGCCTGCATCCCTGATAACATTCCCAACCGCGTGACAGACCACACCTGCCCTGGCGGGGGTCCCCTTTCCCCCAGCTTGACCACCCCTTTACCCCCGCTGGACATTTCCGTGGCCGAGCAGCAGCTGCTGGGATACATGCCTTTACGGGATGATTACGAAATAGAATACGATCAGGAGGCGGAGAAGCTCATAAGTGGGTTATCGGTGAACTACGACGACGAGGATGTTGAGATCGAAATGAAACGTGCTCACGTGGACATGTATGTACGGAAGCTGAGGGAGCGCCAAAGGCGCAAGAACATTGCCAGGGACTACAACCTGGTTCCAGCTTTCCTTGGCCGGGACAAGAAGGATAAAGAGCGGGACAAGCCAGGTGGCACTGGAGGAGTTGGGTCAGGAGGTGCTGGAGGCACTGGATTGACTGGTGGAAATTCAACAACTAATGCTCCGACAATGACGGGGGGCACAGGTTCCGTGACAGCAGCATCAGCTGTGGCATCTTCGGCGCCAAAACGCAAGATCACGAAGGAAGAACGTGAGCAGCGCACAAAGTTGCGGGCGCTGTGCCAGTTCATGGCGCACAGGGAGTTTGAGGACTTTTTCGACAACATGCACAAGGAACGGGTTTTGCGGGCAAAAGTACGCGAGCTACAGCGCTACCGGCGCAACGGGATCACTCGGCTGGACGAGTCTGCCGAATACGAAGCTGCGAGGCATAAGCGAGAGAAAAGGAAAGAAAACAAGAGTTCCAAGAGAGGTAGCGGAGGCGGTGGAGGATTAGGGGGCTCGTCTGGGATCGGAGGTGGTGGTGCTGGGGCCACAGGAGGCGGGGCAGGCAGTGGAGGGGGCGGGGCCATCAAAGAGGAAGGGAAAGATGGCGAATTTGCAGCTATCGAGCATTTACCGGGCTTTGAGCTGCTTTCCGATCGCGAGAAGGTGCTTTGCAACTCTCTGAACTTGAGTCCCACACGTTACTTAACCGTCAAGACCATCATCATCAAGGACCATCTGCAGAAGAGGCAGGGCGTCCCCGCAAAAAGCCGACTGCCTGGATACCTGGACAAAGTGCTGAAGAGGCGAATCCTCAACTTTCTCACAGAGAGCGGCTGGATATCGCGGGATGCTGCCTAATATTGACTCAAGCCTTAGCAACCCTGGAGACTCTTTGTGCTTCTTTTCTACTGTTTTATTACAAGGCATCTCACGGACCCTTGAGAACTTGGTAGGATACAACGGACTTCGAATCCCCAACGTTCTCATGGAGTGCGTCTGGATCTCGTGAGGCGCTGCCTAATGCTAACTGAAGCTTTAGCCACCCTCACAAATGTGCGTGCTTCTTTTCTACTGTTTTATAAAGCATCTCACTTGAGAAGACTTGGATTGAGACGTCAGTGTGGCGTCTTACCTCGATCCCGATTCTTGTCATAGGAACGTACACGAGTAGAAAGAGTTTAACTAAAGCAGAAGTAACATTTACAAGATTTTGATAAGCATATGAGGTTTCAGAGGAGTACGTCTTTATATATTTTTGCTAATTGAAAGAAGTCCTCGTTGAAGAGAGCGATCCTCTGGTGCAGGTTTTCTACGGGTTTTGTGTTGAGCTATCATCGAAGGTAACCTATGCTAATGTTGTGTAGCAGTGTTGCCCTTTTAAATTAGCTTCATTATGAATATGATGGAGGCTGTTCTGCTTCTCTGAGAAGAAAGCTCCATTATATCATCCCAAAGAGCAGAGTGGAAGGAGATAATAACCTGCAGAACGCAGGAAATTCATGGTGCAGCCAAATTTTTTAGAGAACCTCATTTTGTTAAAATACTTACTATAAGCTTAATATGTTCGTCCTGGCAGGGAATCCGATGATGCTAAAGTTAAAGCTGTAGAAAGCAGCCTCGAGCTTCTGTAGAGCATTCTTTTGATTTGGCATTAAAGATTTTTTCATAAAAGCAAAGCTAGAAAAAGCGAGAAACCCAAGCACAACGCATAAAGCATGTTCTGTTGGCCAAACGTCTTTCTTTTGTGTTCATTTGTTGTTCTTCCACTTTTCTTGAGAAGGGGATGTCTTGTCTTTGACGCTGAGATAGTTTCATGCGAATTTACCTGCCTTTGGAAAGCCAAACAGTGTTACTCCTTGGTTCCTCCTGGATGCCTGGTTGTGCTCATGTTTGGTGGTTGTCGCTGTTCTTTTTCCATGTGCTTTGGTCGGTTACTTCACATAGTGTTTCCATATGCATTACTAGCTTTGCTTCATGCCTTTACTTCAGTTTTCCCCTTATTTCACCCCTGGCTTCAGAGACATGCCTGTGAAGTGAGACCTTTTTTGACAAGAGTGACTTTCGTTGACCGTGACAAATAGTTCCTAGAGGTCCAAATGAAGGGACTGACTTTAAGCATCGATAAATGCCAATGATTCATAAGTTTTAAAGATTAGCTTTCCACATATTTTTGGAAATCCTGAACAACAGCATTTTTCATTCGGCTAGAAGTGTAGAGGTTTACTGTCATGGTATGTCAGCATATTTCATGCTTGGTGGAACGTGCAGATTGTAATTTGGAGGTGCGGAAGATAAACAACGCAAGCACTGAGCCTTAGATAACGTAGTGTAGCTAAATTTGATTATGTTTTGGGAAGAAAATCTTAATATATATTTAGTCGGAAAATTTAGACGTGCCATTATCTGTTACACATTCCTTGTACACCCTGTAGAGTACATCTTGTAGTGATCTTGAAAATAAAGGTCCTTAAATGGTTCTTGGCTTGGACCGATGGTTCCTTGTGCATCTCATTTCAATCAAAAGGTTCTTCAAGGAACCAAAGTTCAGCTATGGATTTTGCTCCAGAGGACCTTTTTAACACCTTTATTTTTAAGAATGTATGTTGAATGGTTTAGTGTTTTTCAGCCTCTAACACACCAGTCTAATGTCCTCAAGCAGGATCTCTTGTTTAGCCTGATCACTTAAGCCAGCGTTGCTCAATCCTGGTCCTGGAGATCTACGTACCTGCAGAGTTCAGCTCCAACCCTAATTGAACACACCTGATCCAGGTAATCAAGGCCATCAGGGCCATCTAACAATATGAGCCAGGTGTGTAGGATCTGAACTCTCCAGGGTGGTAGATCTCCAGAACCAGGATTGAGCACCCCTGGCTTAAGCCCAAAGTCAAGTCTGTCCAATAGATGAAGAGCTGAGGGACATTCTTGTTGGATAAGCCTCACCCTTGACTTCAGTTATCTAGCTTTACTGAGATAAGCTCGCCTGATTTGGCTCAAAAAGCTAATTGCCAAGCCCTTTCTTGAGCACAAGGGTGTTAAGTTTCTCAATAAAGCTGGATAACTTAAGCCAAAAGTAAAGTTTATCCAACAGGAATGTCCTTTAGCTCGTCTGCCATTGTACTTGACTTTTGAAGTTATCTGGCTAACTGCTATGTGAAATACCCTCCTGAGGAAAACACGTAATTATTGTAGGATCACATTGCTTCATTTTCTTTTTCTGACCCCTGACATCTGTTATAATATCGCAAAGTTGCTCCTCGAAGCATTTTTCACAATAACAACCTGACATCCCTTGTACAAGACAAACAAGGGAGAGATGTCGGGTCTTGGAAAAGCTCGGCAGCGGAGGAAAGCTGCTCTTTTTCTGTCACTTTTTTATGTTTTCCCCAGTTGAGAGCTTTTGTGCATTTGCCTGGTCGCAGACTCTTTCCTATTTAAATGTAAATGATGCTGTCTGAAGGGCTGCACGCCTGCATACAAACGAGGGGCGAGGACCAGGGAGAGCAGAGGGAAGAAGTGGACGAGTGTCTCCATCTCGCATCCTCTTTTCTTCCTCACTGCCCTGTTGTCATAACCTAAGCTTATGGCTTGTGGGTTCTTTTCAATATCTTTACCCCCTCTTTTCTTGCCGTTTTGTTCAGTGTACACAATGCTGAATGCATAAAAGGTCTCAAGCTATTCACAACAGCTCACCTAGTTCATTGTGGATGCTGGTGGAGGATCACTGGGTGAAATGTGCAGCCCATCGTTGATCAGCTCCTCCAGAGAGTATCTCTCAAAGGAGGATAACTTGGGCCAAAACTCAGGATTGTACAGCAGGAATGGGAAAAGGTCCTAGCTCTCTTCATTGATTTTGGTCTTAAGTTAGCTGGCTAACTGAGGGGGTGGAGGCGGAGTTTTCTAACTTTCTAACCAGATAAGTCCAACTTCGAGCATCTCCAGTAGGATAAGCACTAGGTGACATTTCTGTTGGACGGGCCTCACTTTGGGTTTAAGTTATCCAGCTTAATTAAAAAAATCTTGCTTTGTGAAACACCACCCTGTTCTTGAGCTGAGAACAACATATGATTAGAGCTTCTTGGCTAGTTTAATCCCAAAGTGAGGATTGTCCAGTAGACACACCACTTGGCTGTTGTTCTATTGGACAGTCCTCACTTTTGGCTAAGTTAGCAGACTAACTGAAACATCTTGCTACTCAGCAGAAAATACCTGGCTAACTTGCCACTTGGCTAACTTTGGACAGTCCTCATTTTCGGCTCAAGTTATCCAGTTTTATTGAAGAGCTCTGCTTTGTGAAATACCCTCTCGGTTTAAAGCTGAGTACAACATACTAAGATTAGAGCTATCTGGCTAACTTGAGCCAAAAGTAAGGATTGTCTGATATAAACACCACTTAGCTCTTCTCTTTTTGGACTCTGTTGTTCTAGATTAACTGGCCTACTGAGATGTCCTGCTGACTTTTTGGCTCTTTGGCTAACGTAAGGTCAAAGTAAGGATTGTCTTATACAAATGCCACTTAGCTCTTCTCTCAAAGTGACCATCCTCAACTTGGGCTTAAGTTAGCTGGCTAACTGAGACATCTTGCTACTCAGCATAAAATACCTATCTTGCCACTTGTCTAACTTGACAGTCCTCATTTTAGGCTCAGGTTATCTTTTTATTGAAGAACTCTTTGTGAAATACCCTCTCATTTTAAATCTGAGTACTAGGATTAGAACTATCTGGCTAACTTGAGCCAAAAGTTAACTGAAACTGAAACAGCTAACTGAAACATCCTGCTACTCGGCACGGAATAGTAGGCTAACTGGCTAACTTGCTCTTTGGCTAACGTGAGCCAAAAGTGAGTAGACGATCCTCACTTTTGGTTTATGTTAGCCAAAGAGCAAATTAGTTAAGTGATACTTTGGGCTTAAGTTAGCTGTCTAACTGAGGAATCCTGTTACTCAGCATACAACATTAGGACTATATGGCTAACTTGCTGTTTGGCTAACTTGAGCCAAAAGGAAGGATTGTCTGATATAAACACCACTTAGCTCTTCTCTTATTGGACGTTCCTCACTTTGGTTTTACCTTTGGTGCTCAGCACAGTAGGTTAGAATTAATATTATACTCTGCAGGGCTGTAGATCTCGAGACTTTGCCAAATCATTGAGCATCTCTGATTCATTTAGTTCCATGTACTAGTTAGAGAGTGACTTAATCCGTACAGTCGGGTCAAAAAGTCAAATCCAGACCACTTTCTTCCTCCTGATTGCTGAGGTTCGAGTGCTTTTTTGTGGATTATTGTTGGTTGGATGTTTTCATTTGCCTCAAAACATTATATTGACTGCTGACTCAGACTGGGAAACATGCTGAAACCCATCACTGATGAACTACACAGGATTGTCAGATGATGTTCCTAGATTTAAACCACTTGACTGGACTCATAGGTGCTTTGGTAATAAGCCGAAGAGTCAATGCAGGTGTGAAACTTCATAATGCAGAATTTCTCATTAAAGCTGGATAACTTAAGCCCAAAGTGGGGACTGTCCAGTAGATAATGTCCCTTAGCTCTTCCTCTGTTCAACAGTCAAAACGTTTGGCTTATTTTTGTGGCATTGATCTGAAAATGAAGTGTTTTGCTGACGGCGTGTGAAGCTACCAGGCCAGTCAGCCTGTAGATTCTATCTCAGCCTGGAAGAACCTTGTATTTCAGAGTTTAGTGTTTTTCTTCTGCTCTAACAGACCTGATCAGACTCATCGGCTCAGTGTTCATTTGATGGATTGGCAATAAAAAACACTTTCCCTCTAAATTGAGTTGGTTAGCCAAGACATGTTTGTTGTCTGAAGGTTTATTCTGTGGTTTTAGTTCAGTTTTGATGCCATAATCTGTCTGTAAATGTCCATGTTTATAGATAACAGTGTGTCATACAGTTTCAGAAACCTCAGTCAAGTCTGTCAGAGATACTGAACATCTCTTCACAGTTTGAGGGACAGTGTGTGATGATTGACATGATTGACATAGTGCTAACTGGTGGGTTATAAGCTTTTATTACCTGTTAGCTACATTAGCCTCGCAGCTCCAGCGCTAAAACTAAAGAAGCAAACTTGAGACAACAGACACGTCTTGGCTGATCAGCTACATTTGGGTTAAGGGTAACTGTGTTGCTCTAAAGGACAGCCCCACCAATTTATCAAAATTTTTGCAGAATTCAGTTGTAATCAGAGTGACTCAGAGTGGTTTGGTGTGAAATGGTTCAGATGTCTTTACAGTGGTGGTGATAGGAACCAGGGCTCACCGTGACTACAACACAAATATAGACATTTTATTTACTATCCAGAACCACCAGTGAACCTACACGAGTCTTCTGAGTTTATATGGAATGTTGATGATGGAAAATAGTGGAACATCTGGAATAATAAGTTTTCTTTGGCACTATTTTGCCTCACAGCGTCCTGCATATTATGTATCCCTCCACCATGAATGGAGTTTAAGGCCAAAATCCTCTCAAAACTATCGTAAATCAGTGTCTGAGACATCAGGCAGTAAATTCATAACCAGTTCATGTAGTAACTTCCTGTGAGGGAGCTTTTAGAGGTGGACGTCAGGCTCCTATTACCACCACTGTGAATGGAGCGTTTCACACCAAACCACTCTGAATAATCGTTTACATCCTAACCATTTAATTATGCAGAAATTTGGATAAAATTAGTGGAGTTCCCCTTTAAGGCCTTGGTGAGTTCAGTTATGCTGCAGCAGT